CAAAGAGATGATGTTTTCATGTTTCATTTTTCCCACTTCATCTTTTTGAACAGTGAAATGCAGCAACCAGTATCATGACTGGATGTTTTTCATCCTTCATGTTTTTCACACTTCCTTCTTTCCCACTGATGAAACACACACTAGAAGTGAAAACGGAATCGGAATGCATAGCAAGTGCGATCAGCACGAAAACTAATCGTGAATCGAAGTAACTTTTATTTGAATGTTGCTTTCATTTTCAAATACAAAAATTACTCTCCTATTAAATTGCAACTGGATGTGTCAACACCAATACATACAAGACACCCAATAATGCTTCAGATTTTTCTTAGCACCTAACATATTTTTGTTTGCATTACGTTGCTCAATACAACATTTGGGTACAGAATCTCAAAACATGTGTCTTTTTTCCCAATCTCAAAACATGTGTATTTTCTACATCACAGCCTAAGTTCTGTTGCTTTAGCCATATCTTCATCTCTCGACATTGCAGCTTTTAGGTAGGAGTACTCCTGAACATGATGGCCATCTTCGTTGCAATATCTACATTTCTTGATAGACATTGCTGCTTTCAAGTACTTGCATTCTTGTATGGCATGACCATCTTCATCGCAATACTTGCAAAGCATTTTCTTCTTTGGTCCAGGCTTTGCCCTTGGTTTGGCTTCCTTCTTCTTTTCCTCTTTCTTCTCCTCTTGTCTAGCCTTCTTCTTGTGTGCATCCTCTTGTTGCTCAAGCAGAGTCTTCCTCCTCCTCTCCTTTTCAGTTGGTCGACTTTTTTTCGAAACACGCGCTGGGTTTTGAAGCATGGCACCCAGTTGTGCAGCAGGCGGATCAGCCGTTTGTTCATGTCGTGGAGCCGGGTTGGTGGCTTGACCTTGTTGCTTTGTTGGATTGGCTTTTTGTCGCTGCCGACTTGGCACCTTTTGAGTTTCTGCTGGTTGCTGCGGCATTTGCTGTTGATGTTCTTCCTGCTGCTCTGGTAGTTCCCCTCTTTTTGCTGCAGCTATAACACAGTCAAGCTGATTTGCTGCATCATTTAGCAGGTTGTATGCAAAGTCATTGCTGCAAGCTTATGAGGCCAACCAAGTAAGTTTCCTGCAGAGTGAGTTGTACTTGAGGGTATTGTTCGATGGGAGTCCAAAATCCAGAAGCTGGCTGCCTGTTGGTGTTGTTGCTTTTTCAGACCACCTCTCTAGCAAATAGCGTTGTGGGATAGTCTGCACATTTAGATGAGTCATCACTCTAATGTTGTGTGCACATATAATTCCATTCATCTCAAAACAGCTGTAACTGCACTCAAACTTCTCATCTGACATCTCAGCATTTACTTTAAATATTTTTGGGTCCTCATAGTAATTTGAGAAAAGTTCAAAGTTCATGCTTCCACTGTGAATTGCAGGGACCTGGTTGATTACATATCCCGTCGATGCAATCACTTCTGATTGAAACTTGCCAAAAACTGCCCGGGTGTAGAAGTTCACTGCCTGACGCTCAATGTTGTATTTCGAGTAAAGAGGTGTTGTTGTTGCTTCAGCAATGAAAGCCTGGTTGTCCTCACGATCTAGCATCGTCTCCTGGAGCACCTCATACTGCTGCACAAATTTCCAAACCGACTCTTGAGGATTGATGAATGTCTTGAAGTAAGAGTTGAGGCCCTCCGACCTCCCTGTAGTGCTTGTGAAGGGGAAGAAGCATTTCCGGAAGTATGCTGGAGCCCAGGTATGCCGAGTCCGCCACATGTTGCAAAGGTGTCTATTATCTTCCAATTGAAAGCAATGTATCATGTGCTACCAGTTCTCCTCAAACTCATCAACCGTGTCCGGATCGTTGATGCATGTGTAGAAAGCTTGCTCAAAAACTTCATCCCTGCTGAGTATTCTACCCAACTTCTCCCTCGCTTTCCGCTGGACATGCCATTTGCAACATCTATGCACTGTATTTGGTAAGGCTTCAGAAATGGTTGTTTCCATTGCCTTGTCCTGGTCTGTCATGATGTTCAATGGGTGTTCATTGTTCATCGCAATCAAAAGGTGCTGGAACACCCACTTGAAATTTTCAATCTGTTCATTCGGAAGCAAAGCACACCCCAGCAAAATTGTCTACAAATGGTTGTTGACGCCGACAATCGAAGCAAACAACATGTTATACCTATTTGTGCAAAAGGTGGTGTCAAAGAAGATGCAATCTTTGTACTTAGGGTACAATGCCCTTGTCCTCCCATCAATCCAAAACAGCCCCGTGACAGAGTTTGTTTCCTCATCAACTGTTTTGGCAAAGTAGAATTCAGGATTCTCATCTTGCTGCCTCTCAAAGTATGCAACTGTCATGTCCATGTCCCGGAGATTTATGGTTTGCCGCAGCTTGGACCGAACATTTGTAACATCCCTCTTGACATATGGCAGTATCCTCCGGTCCCCACCACGAACCCTCCCAAGCATTCCCATGCATGATGATGTGGAGAAGTTAATATCATGCATTGTCAATATGAGATCCAAATCTTCTTGCGGAATGTTGTGGTGTGAGCGGTAGAACCATACACGCTCTGGATGTGGCATCAGAGGGTGTGTATGCTCTGCAACAGAATATGAAACAACCCATTATCACCCCTCAGCCCAACTATTAAGTGTGCTTTGCAATCATGACGCACCAATCTATTTTTCTGACGCTTGTTTGCGACATCCATTTCAAACCAAGACTCTTTGCTAGATGAGTGTTGTTCCGTTGAGATTGCTTCCGAAGCACTGCTAGTATCGGCCTTATTCTCTGGCTTTCCGGCATGGACACACCGGAACACCCTCTTGATTAGTATCGCAGGCCCCTTCTTTTGGCTGTTCTTTGAAGCAGATATGTGTATGCCAAAGCCCATTTTGAATGCATAGTCGTTGTAGAACTGCTTAGCATCATCAACAGAGTCAAATTGCATCCCAACATAGGGTGCAAGTGGTTGAGATGAAATCTCATCATCTTCATCATCTTCATTCATTGCAGCTGCTGCAGTTGTTCCAAAGTTTGCATCAAATTGATGTTCAGTGAAGCTCTCCTCACCTCCTGTACCACTGTGGGTAGCCTATCAACAGCAAAACAAAAGTTTTAGTTAGCTAGTCTGTAAGCACAAGTGATGCTTCATGACCCGAAATACATTTTCTTGGAATGCAATTTTATAGTTTCAACAATTTTTTGAAGCATGTAAATGCATCAAGCAACAAAAGAGTTCAGCATCATAATTTCATTTTTTCAGGGATGTAAGTATGCTTCATTTGACTCAGTAAATTTAAGTTCAGTTTCACAATCATTTTCTTTTCAGCACTTAATTAGTTCCATAAGCTACATTTTTTTGTTTCAACTTCTTATTTTTTGAGGGTGCTACATGTTTAACTGCATTTCTTTCAACATAATGTTATTTTTCATGCTGCACTCTCTGAAACTGTGTTTTCAAATCAACATACAATACTCTGTTTTTCAGTAAAAATTCAGCAACTGTACATTTCACCCCCCTACCAATGTATCATGGTGTTTTTATCGAAGCTCAATGTTCAGATTTACCCATGCTCATTTTTGCAACACTTAACATTTGCTACAACTAAATTATGAAAATTATTAGGGTTTTCACAGAGTTGTTACCCAATTTGCAGCAGATGTAGATGTCGTGGCCTCTGGGAAGACCACCGGCGGGTTATGGTAGATGCTTGCCAGGGGCCGTTTTTCCCTGGGGTGTACACCAGTCGCTGAACTTGGATCCGTCCACCGGGATGCAGCAGACCCACCGGAGCTTCGATTGTAGGTGGAGGCGAACATATCCCTAGCGATGTGCGCCATTGGAACGAACCAGGAGAGGGGAGCTAGTGGTAGATGGAGGAGGGGGGAGGTGGTGGTGTTTCGATGCTCCGGTGGTGCTGCGGCGGCAGAACGACGGCGGATGATGGCCAGATCCTGCCACGGTCGCCGCCGCCGCCGCGCGATTCGCGGGGATCAGGTGTGAGTCTGTCTGCGGGGGTATGCTGCATTGCAACAGACCGTGCGTTGCAACGGTCGTTCGCCTCGAAGTGCATCGCACGTGGTTAAGTGTCTGCGGGATCTGACGGCTGAGAGCTGGTTGATCCAATGGCTGTCAAGGCGGTTTACTTTCTCAACAAATCAACCGGTTGATTTGTAGCACGCGCCTAAATTTTACGCATTGTACTTAGCATACTTAGAATCAAAAGTTAAATCATGCATCTATTCAAAAACTAATTTGGAAGTCATGCCCTCTGTTTCTTTAATTCTAAGCCATGAGCACTTTTTTTTTGCAATTGTTGGAGAAATATTTGGCTATGCTTGATTTTTGTCTTTCTTGCGCCTTTGCTCGTCATGGACATTCAACTATGATATCAACCATCGATATGAAGGAGTAATTCTTCACATGAAATTGCTAGATGTTGCCCGTAGCAACACACAGGCATTGTTCTAATTAAATGTAATGCGCACAATTGGTTCAGAGCGGGGGCTAAATTGTCCAGGGCAGTTGTTTTGACCAAGGTCGCTTTGTGCGTGCAGCTTTTGTTTCTTTGGGTAGTTCGTGTTTTGTAACCTGAAGACTTCTTCGACTACATATTAACTCATGCAGTTCTCCTGCATACCTGCATGGGCTCAAAAAGAAAAATCTAAACTGGGCGACATGTAAATGGACTAAACCTCAGATGGATGTGCCATTTGCTGTTATTCTGCGATCAGGTCTGGGTTCTTCTTGACACTGCAGCCTATGGATACTAGTAGATATCAGACACCGATGCTGTTCTTGCCATTTCTAAACTTGATCCACATTACAAGAAATTACGCCTAGACAAACCAAAACTACCTCGAGGTGACCTAACACAGTTCCGAATGAATGGTGATGCCGAAAACGGTTTCACAGTTCACCGGGCTAAGCAGGTTTGTATGGAAAATCCGACCAGGGCGACATGTACTTATTACACAATTAGCTGGCGCTAGAACCGAAGCACCACCATACACCCCTGCGATCAATACCGGCGTTGTCGGTTGCGACTGCTGCTGTTGTTGTCTTCTCCCCTCGGGCGCTTTGTACCCGACCCGGACCTACTTGATCCACCACTGCCTCCACCGCCACCGCTGCCACCATGACGTCCAATTTGCCGTGCCTGTGGCGGAGGAGATGTGAAATGCTGATGTTGCCGCACCTGGGGCGGAGGGGAAGCGAAATGTTGCTGCGCTCCAGGCTGTTGCCTGCCAAAGAGGAATGGAATATGTTTTCAGCATTGGAAATATATCAAACACAACACTCACATCAGTCACGGTAGCAGATTTAAAACGACATCAATCAGCACCATTGAATCGAAAATGACCAAGTCTCCATTTGCTGTAAAATGGAAAGAGGCCATAGCTAGGTAAACGGAATTTTCTCTACCCATCCTGTGCCAAGAAAGAGGTATATGCTGTACTGATGTTTATTCTGTGCTATCCCCTGCATATCTTTGTTACTACTTTTAATGTGTACTGGATAGTTAAATGTAAAGAATGCATGCATGTATGTACAAACAGGAGAGCACCTTAATAACAGCAGTCTGATGCAATAGGGAGTCATCTACTCCTAACAGCAGCTACTTATCGGGTTTTCAGGAAAATAGATGGCAGTACTTACACAACATATACAAGACGGCCATCCGGTAGAAGCATTGGAACCATTGCTGCACCTGGAGGAGCTCCTGGAGCATAGAGCAGAGGCTGCAAAAGTTCCAACACATGTAACATTTAGCAAGTTTTATCCCTTCCATGTATGTATGTATGTATGTATTACCAATTTACCACATGAAGCAGGCATCAGGAGATGTGATATACCTGTCCACCATAAGCAGGAGGTGCACCATAAGCAGGAGGGGCACCATAAGCAGGAGGCGCACCATAAGGATCTGGCCGCGGCATACCATATCCAAGTGGAGCATGGAGCAACGGACCTCCTTTGGCAGTAGGCAATGATACTGCATCGTCTTTTTTATCAGCAGGAGGTTTTGCGAGTGAGCAGTCCAGGAGCTGACCTGTTAAAGAAATATTTGTTACCTTAAATGCACCAAACAGAACAAACAAGACATAGTACAGCATTCCAACACAAGAAGAAAGCTCACCGTCAAGCTCATATTTCTCTGTGCTCTTCACAGCCTTCATGGCCATGTGGCGGTCTTTAAAGTGAACAAAACCATACCTATTATCATGACCATCTTTTGAAGGGGGGAGAACAATTTTTATGATTTCACCATGGCGCTCAAACAGCTTTTTCAGCTGTCCTTGAGTAACATTCTTGGGCAGGTTTTTGACATATACAGATTTGACCTAGAACCACGAAATAGGAAGTTCATATAAGATATCAATGACAATTTAACAAGAAACAAAGGGTATCATTTGTCCATCAGATGTTTCAGGAACCTGTGAAGTAGAGCCTGTAGAGGCAGAATCGCCATTCTTGGGATCTGCCCAGCTGACAGTAGGAGCATTTGTATCTAATTTGAAATTTGGTGCAGTCATCTTCTGCCTTGAATACTCAGCGCATGCATTATTATAGTATTCAACGAAACCATAACCCCGATTGCGATCTGTACGTGGATCCTATAAAAACAGAATATCTTTTATAAGGGTAAAAAGCAGATTTGTGGGGGTGCACGGTATAGTTGTGGAACTATTCAAGTTATGATTATCAAAATCTTTACCTTAATCAGATCAACTTTTAATACTCCAGGACCAACTTCTTCCACTGCTTTTTTAAAATCATCAAATGACCAACTGTGAGGTATATTTCCAACAAATAGCTTGTTCTTAGCCTGGGAGGAAGAAACTCTTAGCTTCTTTCCCTGTTATGAGAAGCACATGACAAAGTTAAGTTAGCATAATAATTCAAAATGAAAAGGCTTTCAGGTGCAACTGGAACCGATATGTATGCGCCACACTATATGGAGTCTTAAAATATCAGTATAATCATGGTTAGTCATCGACAAAACTGTAATTTAAAATGAATAAAAAATTGCAATCAACAGAAGGTATCACACTTTAAACTTACTTTTTAACAAAACAATACACTTAGTTTTCAAGTGTACAAGAGCTTGTATTCTGGAGTACAGAAGTTAAGTTTTTTTCATTCTTTTTAACAAGACTGTATTCACACCTGGCTATCAGGGGAGGCATGGAGTACATAAGATAAGCATGTAATTGTTTAAGCTTGCAATGTACTATGCCAATATCCATCTCTACTACTTATAAAAACATCAATTGCAACTTTTTTAAACCCACCAATATTAGTGTACACAAGAGATCCACCACCCCCTGATCTAATTTACTTAACTAAATCTAGCAGTCTGTATTACTCCGGTGGTCTGCCATCCAATCGAATGGCCAAGATTCAATGTTCTGCCACAGCCCCACGCACGTCCAGCCCAGATCACTTTCCTCACTCAATCCTCTCCTAATTAATAGCATACCCAATATCCATGCTAGGGCTATCAAATAATTATATCTTAGCTAATATTGACGTGCAATTAAGATCTTATCAAATACCCCCTCCGTCCCATAATATAGGAGCGTTTTTGACACGTGTCAAAAACGCTCGGATGGAGGGAGTAGAATATTAGTATGCAATGCAATTAATATATTGCCTAATATTAATGTGCATTGCAGGTACACGATTACAGATGGACACTAAGACTTGAGTGCATAAATAGGGGTATATTAAGATTCATTGACATGAGAACATGAGTCAACTTTAATCAACAGAAACAAACCTTGAAAGTTGCCTTGTTCAATTTCTCGATGGCCTTCAAAGCCAGGTCATTAGTTCTGAAAGTAACAAAAGCATATCCCCTGCTATCCTTGTTGCTCAGCATTATTCTAACCTGCAGGAAAAAAGAGAATATGAATGCAGAAAAAACACATTGAAATGCTAACCCTAAGAGAGTAGACGGTACTCACTTCCACAACTTCGCCAACTAGCTCACATAGTTTCTTGAGATCGTCAGAAGATGCATCGCTGGAGATGCCCCCAAAATATACTTCAGATCCATGAGGAGGAAGAGCAAGAAGTTCGGCATGCTTCTCTTTATCGCTCCCATCTTTGGTACCATCCTGCTGAGGAAGAGGAACACCTTCCGATTTACTGTCACTGTCATGACTAGCATCAGTTTCATCAAGAACTTCTCTTTCTTCAGGGTCTTCCTCTTCCTCTACCTCCTCTACTTCCTCTGAAATATCCTCGTCCTCCTCCACCTCCTCCTCTACCTCCTCCTCAATTTCTTCATACTCAATTTCTTCCTCTTCTACCTCCTCCTCTTCATTATCATCAAACTCCAAGCATTCCTTTGGTTGAGCTGGTTCAGCATCTTCTGTCCGTCTAGGCATCTTGAAGAGCTCAAAGTTCCAAGGCAACTTTGGAAAGAGCAGAGGAGGCAAAAATATTGGGAGAGCAAATTGAGGACATGTGGATAGGTCGAAAAACAACAGAAACAACTAGAACAATTGGTATGCAATGATATCAAATTGGATGTAGCCATAGGTGCCAAACTGGATGGCATGGAACTGCTTAAGGGACAAACGAAGAAATTGCGTATGCTCGGGATGACACAGGGAGGTTCTCAAGAACACGATCCCGAACAAGCACAGAGAAGAAAACAAGAGTATACAAACGATGGTCAAGGCGATGCACTTGGAAGTGTAACCAACGACGGGCTGATGGCTTAATTGAAAGATGCCAACAATCCATGAAATGGATGGAAGGAAAAGAAAAAAAGACAAGGGAAAAAAAGCACAATGAGAAGTAGATAACAATGTATATATATATAATACTAGCATCTAGGGTAAATCAAACTCAAGTAAATATAGCATGGAGCTAGTTAAGAATCTGACTAGTTACAAGAATAAATTTTTTTGGACGTAATTCTTCTACGGAGATTAATTTAGTTGTGCAAATGATTGGAGAAAAGCATGTGGGGGCACACTAGAGCGGGATATGCTACGATGCCCATAGCAAGTACCAAGTAAAGCGACTGGCCATACATAGAGATTGGATAAAGCAATCGACGCAAAAGGACGCATCCTTTTCGCCCAGGTTCATGCCACTACGGCCACTGCCCAAGCCGGAGAAACACAACTACGGAAATCGAAGCAGCAAGCCCAAGCCTTTTACCAGTTGAATCGACGCAGCAACAAGGGGATTTCACGAGGTGTTCGTATCCACGTTCGTCGGCGACTTGGCGCCTCTGCCGCAGCAAAGAACCAAAATCGCGACCGAATCGGAGGCCGGAACAAGCTAGCGCGACGGACTTGCGAGAGAAGACGCATGGCAAGAAAGTGGCCGCGAGCAATAGACAGATCTTGGCGAGGGGTTCGGCGAGTTTACCTCTCTCTTGTCAACGGCTGGAATCTGACAGTTGGGGCTGGAGCCGCCGGCGAAGGGGGAGAGGATCAGCTTAGCCCTAGCTAGAGGAGGAGGAGGAGGAGGAAGAAGAGCTGGGCGAGGTCGCGGCTCATTTAGAGAGCAACTTGCAGTCTAGCCCTCACTCTTTTCCGCTGTCACACTCTCATCCCTGAGATTTCCCCAGCCGTCCGATCCTGCGCTGACCGAGCCAGCACCGTTGATCCGCCTGCCTCCGGAGAGCCACGGGCCTGCCGCCTAGCTACGTGGGCCGACGCTTGGGTCCGGCTCACACACTTGTCATGCCAGTTTCTGCCGGCCCGCTTTGAGGCCCATCCCAGGTGGTTTTCTTCCTCGCGGGGGAGCGCCGCCGTCTCTCTCCATCCATCCACTCTCCCAGCCAAATCGAGCCGAGCCAAGCCGCCGCCTGAGCTGAGAGGCAGGAATGGGGTGGAAGGCCGCGGAGAAGCTCATCAGGCACTGGAAGATCCTCCGCGGCGACAACGTGCGCGGCTCCTCCACACCCCGCTCGCTCCTCTTCCCGCTCCCGTTGCGCTCGAGATCTCTCTGAAATCTCTTCTTCCTTTTTCTGTCTGATGAAATTGGCGCCAGGTGATGATCATAAGGGGCAAGGACAAGGGGGAGAGCGGGCTGATCAAGCGGGTCATCCGGTCGCAGAATCGCGTCATCGTCGAGGGCAAGAATCTGGTAATATATATAATCGCCGGCGCTCTTCCTTCTTCGGTTTCTCTTATCAGCTATTGCTTAGGATTCGGTGCTACTGTGTGGTGTCATGGGAGTATCGATTTGCGTATCTGTGACTAGCTGTATGCAATGTGATACGTGCTCCGAGTGCTGCACTACAGGTGTTTGTCGAAATTCCCAGTCCACTGAAAGTGAATGGGCAACTTGGCTGCGTTAATTCCGCGTGCTAATTCTTCAGGACCCAGGCTAGTGTTGTAAGTAGCTGCTATGCTGCAGCTGCACAGATGTTATTTGGTGATTACTGCAACAGAGGATTTTTTTTCTCCATTCGATTGTCATGAATGATGAGATAAAACGATAGTGCCCAGGAAGAAAATTCCCACTGGGATACCATCTGTATGAATATAAATCTGTAAAGTAAACGAGAATCTAACACTTCCCACCACATACCATGCATCCACCACGACATCAGAATACCATAAGTACGGAACGAGCACATATTACTTGTAGGATACTTGCCTGCTTGAATCATCATATATATGGAGGTCGGCTTTTTGGTCAAATCTTGGAGAGCTCAAGCAATGCAAGTGCCACTTAAGGCGTGTTTGAAAGGCTGGAGGTTAGGCCTAATCCATTAAAATGGTAGGGAAAGGGGACCAAAACAACCCTGCCAAGATATATTGCAGCGTTGTGCGTGCCTATCTACGTTTGAGCGGTTAGCATAGATTTTTCCCTTTTTGGGCATGTTTGCGTCTACCAAGTTGTTACTGTGCTATACATACTTATACTACAATGTCCCTCACTCTGTTATATGTTTACTTTTAGTTAATTGTCAAACTCACAATGAGATGCCTTAAAAAACTGATAATAAGACCATGCAATGTTTTGCTGGATTTGCACATGTCATAAGCCCATAACAAACAAACGCGGAATGAATGACTCAGTTAGATAAAAGCAGTTTGATTTGAACATGGTGAGGAAGTGACTGTAGTGAATATTGAACAGGAACTGTGAACTGCACAATGCTTGTCTTTCTACAGTTTTGTATATCTACTGTAAGATGTTGCATGTTTATGGGGAATACTGGGTAACAGGACAATTGCAACCAGCAAACTTTTACTGTTTATGTGTTTCTCTTGTAATGAAAAATCACTTAGTAATTTGTATGCTGACATATTTTCAGGTTAAGAAACATATTAAGCAAGGGGAAGGACAAACAGGTGGGATCTTCTCAATGGAAGCTCCACTTCATGTTTCAAATGTACAAGTAATTGATCCAGTCACCGGGTATGATACTTTTGGCCATCTTTTTTTACCTTTATTCTCTAGAGATACAGTTTTTATTTGTCTACATACTAAAAATATATTTGTCAACATTTTGACTGCAGGAAACCATGCAAGACTACATACAAGTATTTGCCAGATGGGACTAAAGTAAGGGTCTCTAGAGGAATGAATGCGTCTGGTGCTGTCATACCTCGGCCAGAAATTTTGAAGGAGAGAAAAAAGCCAAGACCCACATCTCGTATGTTCCATAAACAGATCCTTTTTGCTCATTATTAGTTGCTTTTGAAGTGCATAATTATACTGTTCAGAGAAGAATTAACTGACTTGTTATCCTGCAATTGTTTGTGAACATCCGAGTTTTTCATGATGCCTGGATTAGAATTGAGCTAACACTAATCTGACCTCCATCTAAAATTAGGAGAGCAAGCCAATCTCAACTTAATACAACTTATTTTTTCAAGCCAATCTCAACTTCATACAACTTATTTTTTCATAATTTTGTCTCGTGTTGCTGGAATTTTCTTATTCTTGAGCACTATGTTTTATGTTCCGGATCTGCGATAGTCATGCTACTATAGGTGTTTCTGTTAATGGTGTTTGGCTTGTTTGCTGCATTCTACATATTAGAAAGACTTCCATAAAATTAGTTAGTAGTAAAAAGCGCAGAATAAATTCTGATGCTTCATGCTGTCCTTGACAACGGTTGGACTGAGGGCAATCTGTGTATGGTATGGATAAGAAAAAGAATAAGTAGGTTTAATGTATAACAAACGAAGCGCCATAGGAAATTTCCTGTACTTATGTGCAGGGGGTATCTACCCACTAGCTGGCATGTGAATGTATTGTGTCGCTATATGAGCATCTGCTCTGCTCTAGGAATACCACGTCTATTTTGTAATTGGACTGATTTTCTTTGACTGATGCAGATGGCCCAAAGGACACACCAATTGAGCATGTGCTGGAGAAGACCTATGATGCCAAAGCTGGAATTGGTATGCCTGATCTATGAGAGAAGACGTCCATTGCTGAGAATGAAAGAGAAAGAGTCGGGAATATTTGTGATCTATCCATCCTAGTTAAGATAGTAGGAACTCTGCGGTTATTATGTCAGGAAGCACTCAACATTTGTTCACGAATAAAACTAGCCAGCATCTCGTGTGTTTCCAGAAATCTGTCCCTGAAGACCCTGATTGAATGTTGTGCATCTTGTTTGCTGTTTGATTGTATGAATGAGGCCCCAAGAAAGTACGGGCCAGGCTGCTGGTTAACCAAGAACAGTTCTTGGGTTTTTTACTGTAATTTCTTTGTTTTTCCAGCATGGCTCCTGAAGGTAGCTGAATATGCGAGTGCAAAAAAGGAAAAATTGCGACAAAGTCTTTCATTTATGCTGTCTGTTTCAGTCGTTGCATTGTGCTGAAACAAATCCTAGCTACTCATCTCAGGAGTGAGGAGTTCATATTTCATGGCTATACACTGTCAATGATGAAATCATATACTAGGTCCTACTATTAAATTATAGTCATAGAAAGTGCATGGAATTAGACCTAAGATAACCGTTTGCATCCGCCAACAAGCCAACCTAAGGCCGTGAGCATCAGATTGCAAAGAAGCTCTGTTAATCGTAACACAAACTCTTAACAAGTTAACATGAAAGGAATTCATTTAGTAGCACTGTGAACCCACTCGAAGAAAATATTCTTCACAACTATTTACAGCCGTGATAAAACAGTCTGTATTCATTTCCACAAGAATTTGGACACACATCCACAATCCGCTAGTATGGGATATCATTGCGATCTGAAAGAGGCTTGGTGAGCCAATCATTATCTTCACCATCGTCGTTGATGTTGCTGAGCACATCAAATACTTCTTGTGCTAGAACTAATATGACCTATGCCTGACGATGAACAGAGGTACAACCTCTGCAAAAACAGGAGAAGAACAAGGATGAACAGAGAGGGCAGTGCCAAAAATGAAAGGAGGCGGGGCAAAATGGGTAATAAAGAAAATAGAGTTGTTCATATATATGTCGTGCCACCCAACCACCCACTCTCCAGCTTTTATACTAGCAAGCTAGGAGCCACGACAGCTTCAGCCTCAGACTGTTACAGTGAAGAGTATAGCAACTAAAGGAAAAATCCTAGCTACTCATCACAGGACAGGAGGGAAGCCTTCTACTAATACTAGTGACCTCGCATGCCGATGATGCCTTCTTCTTCATCGCAGGCAGCTCTTCCAACCGTCTCCATCACGATCACCACATGGTGCTCATGTCCTCCTCCTCAATCGCCATCTTCTTCGATGGCCTTGCCTTCTACGTCTTCCGTCTCCTCTGCCGCTATTTCAAGCTCGTCATCCAAAAACCTCGCGAACTCGTCGTCGCCCTCCTCCTGCTCCTCCTCCTCACCGCCATCTTTTTGGACGGCCTTGCCTTCCACGTCTTCTGTCTCCTCTGTCGCCATTTCAAGCTCGTCATCCAAGAACCTCACCAACTCCTCCTCCTCATCGCCATCTTGTTGGATCATCTTGCCGTCTACATCTTGCGCCTTCTCTGGCAACACCTCGTCCGTGTAGTCGTTGCAGGCCTTTTGTTGGATCGTCCTCTTGTGGCCTCCTTGCTGGATCGTGCTCTGGCCCTCTGCCATTAATCCAAGGTCGGCCCCCTTGTCCTTGGTGGCCTGGCGCTGAGGCAGAGGCACCGACAGGAAATTCGGCTGCTGCGGCGGACACCAGGACGGTCGCTTTGCCGGCTCCCACGACAGGATGGATCGTCTAGTAGGTGGCACCGCGAGATGCGGTGGTGCTGCTGACGCCGGCTTCACGGCGGCAAGTGTGGGAGCTGGAGCGAGAGCAGCAGCACGCATCCGCTTGGGGTGCGGCGGCTCGGCAATGGGAGGCGCCGGCCTCTTGGGCGCCTGCTGCTGCGTGGTCATCGGCGCAGGAACCGTGACGCGACGTTGCTGTTGCCCCGACGAAAGAGCAAGGCCGCGTGGCGTCTCTGTTGCCCCGACGATCACCTGCTGCGGTCGTGCTTGTGGACGCGGCGGCGCGGCCATGATGGCGGGTTCTTCAACTCTAAGACGATGATCTCCTGTTGCAGCCTGTTGGCGCGCGACGTATCCCGGCTTCGAACTGGCAGTGGCAGAGGACCACATGGGGCTCTGCCGCTCAGCAACTTGTGGCGCTGGCTTCCTCATCCCGGCCTGCGCCTGCGTGTGCGTGGTCGCGGGAGGCACACCAACCTCTTCTTGTGGACGCCGCAGCAGCAGCTGCTGCTGCTGCTGCTGCGGGGGTCCTTGAATTCCACGGACGCCGCGGCAGATGGTACGCTGACGAGGCATGAGGTGATCCGCGGCAGCAGATTGCTGAAGCGCGAGGGATCCCGGCTTGGCGTTGGGCGAGACGTAGAGCCTGCACAGGACGCGCTCCTCCTGGCTCCTTGCCGTCATGGAGGAGGGCGTATTGGTCGAATCCGCGGCAGTGGTACTCGTCCATGAGCCACTCCGACTTGCCGCTCTGCCCCTTGTACGCGTACCGAAGTTTCTCGTGGTATCCGATGATCTCGTCGGCGCTGTTCTTCACCTCCGTCTTGTCACTCGAGACCCAGCTGCCGGCGCCGACGGTGCGCTTCATCCTGAAGCCCGACCCGGCTTTCTGGCGCCTGCAGGTGGTGAAGAAGAACCGGTTGTGGGTGTTGGGAAGGCGCGGCCACACGGCGGCGAGATCCTTTGGCTCGGACTTGTAAACCTCCGCTTCATGGATGATTCCGGCGGCGTCAGGCAGCGGCTGGTCAAGGAGCCATGGCACGAGGTACCGACCAATGGCCTGCTCGCCCGTCGGGTTGAAGCGCATCCCGAACCATAGCGCACGGTAGGGGTAGGTCATTGTTCTCGGCGTCGCCGTGCTCTTGACTTGAGAGACTTCGCCGGTGGGCTGGGCGATCAGCGATTTGGAGGAAGGTAGGTCAGCGCGGCCGTATGGGAAGGCGGGTGTTGACTACTTATACTCGTAAGGGAGTCCGTGGTGTGTATGAAAACGAACTACTAGGACGATTCACGATTCCGATTGCAGTCCGACACAAGTGCTGATTTCATAAAGCACAAGAACGTAACACTTTTTTCTTCATATGGATGTGCTAAAAACAGCGAAAAAAATAACGCGCGTCACTAATACCACACTATAGGTTTTAGAGAAATGTCTTACTAAATAAATCAAGTACTCCAATTTGACAAAAGACTACTACATTAAAGCTTACCGTCCCACGGAACTACCACTTTAAAAAAAGTGACTAATAACTATCGAAAATTTCAAATTTTGTGACAAAAAATTACAAGTCGTGTTGATCGTCATTTTAGCCAGTTTAACAGCTTTACCTGACAGGGCTGGCTCACATGGCAGGCCGACGGGTACCCTAACGGCTAACGGCGCCCACTCACGGCTATTAGTGGCTCGGCCCGGTCGGAACCAGCCAGCCAGGTCAAAACGGCCGATCGACCGGCCGAACCACATCTCTCTGCCCCCCGAGGTTTTAGAGAAATGTCTTATTAAATAAATGAGTGTATAATGTCTCGTTAATAGCACGCGATAACGCGGTATAGCATACTAATAGCATATTTGAAGGACTACACTATTTTGTCATAGCATGCTATTTCTTTCAATGGCTAAAACTCAACTAGCTGGGTGAGCTTTAGTATCATCTCGTACTCTCATTCACACCTATTACCGTTCAATAAGCGTTGCTCTACCAGCCTGTAGCGTCGATCCTACCCGCAGGCCGGTAAAGCAACACTGCACGGCCAATTTATCTGTTTGTGTTGCTATTTGTTGCGTTATGTGCCTACATGGCTAGCACAGGTACAGATCGATCTTCTTCTGCTCGTGTGCATCGGCTAGAGTGCATGTATGTTATCCATGTGCGAGCCGCTGGTTTTAGAAGTTTTTCTTTTCTATTTTTTGTTTATTAATGGTTTATTCCGGTTTCCTTCCCTTTTCTATTTTTTTTTCTTTGTTTTGGATTTGCTAAAACTCAGATAGGTGAATTTTTATTTTGTCTCATTCACTGCTTCCCATCCGATCTACTTGCATCGTGATTCGTGCTTTTTGCAACCCGGACGCCCATCGCGGCACCCTTTTTTTTCCCTCTATGATCCATTTTTCTGTTTCATTTTTCCTAGCCTTTTCTACGGCCCATCTTAGCCTGTTGTCATTCTGTTGGAGGGTAGCCGCATCGACGGGGTATTCGGTCTCCTTGGTGTTTGTCTCGCTGAGAGTGTGAAGAGAAAGGAGCGACCGAAAGAAGTCATGTTGTCGTTTATCATTTCGCGCCCCATTGTTTAATTTAGTGGGCCATTTCTCTTTGTTCTTTGGTTTCTTTTTTTAGAAATAGAGACTTATCCCCGGCCTCTGCATCATAATAATGCATGCAGCCATCTCATTAAAAATTTGTAAAGTATCATAGAGTCGTCAAAGTATTACAGCTCGCAAGTGGAGTTAAAAATAAAAATAAATGAAAGTTCATCTTGACAATCACAACCGGAATGGCAATAAGAAAGATAAGCTCCCTAGACTCCTATCCTGTTATGCGACCGCCATCCAAACCGGTTGAATATAACCCGTGCTACCATCTCCCACTGGTTGCATCCAGTAACCAAAGGCTCCCTGAATTTCATAGGAGTGGGTAAGGAACACGTACGGATCCAAGCGGTAGCTCTGAAGATGACCTGCAAGAAAGTTAAATTGTGTTGTCTGTTAAATATCAAATCATTCCGACAATTTCATATAGCCCACAAGAGCGCACATATTCCAATCCGAATACGAGCCGCCGTAGTATGTTCGACCCCAGTTAACCACATTCCAAACAACGATGCAATGTCAACTGGAGGAGTAATGTTAAAGGCTATATGAATCGTTCTCCAAAGCAATTTGGCTAGTGGGCATTCAAGAAATAAATGTTGTATTGTTTCATCATGATCACAAAAGCAACATCATGGACTACCTACCCATCGCCTCTTGATTAAGTTGTCATTTGTAAGAATTACTTGTTTGTGGACAAACCACATAAAGATTTTAATGCACAAAGGAACCTTAATCTTCCAAATATGCAACGATCTCGAGACTGGGCCAGAATTAACAAATCCACATAGAAAGATTTTACCGTAAAAATCTCATTCTTAGCTAATTTCCATTGCATGGAGTCCAGTGAAGGAAATATGCCCTAGAGGCAATAATAAAATTATTATTTATTTCCTTATTTCATGATAAATGTTTATTATTCATGCTAAAATTGTATTAAGTGGAGACATAATACATGTGTGAATACATAGACAAACATAGTGTCACTAGTATGCCTCTACTTGACTAGCTCATTGATCAAAGATGGTTAAGTTTCCAAACCATAGACATGAGTTGTTATTTGGTCAATGGGATCACATCATTAGGAGAATGATGTGATTGACTTGACCCATTCTGTTAACTTAGCACTTGATCGTTTTTGTTTACTGCTATTGCTTTCTTCATGACTTACACATGTTCTTATGACTATGAGATTATGCAGCTCCCGAATATCGGAGGAACACTTTGTGTGCTACCAAACGTCACAACGTAACTGGGTGACTATAAAGGTGCTCTACAGGTGTCTCCGATGGTACTTGTTGAGTTGGCATAGATCAAGATTAGGATTTGTCACTCCGATTGTCGGAGAGGTATCTCTAGGCCCTCTCGGTAATGCACATCACTATAAGCCTTGCAAGCAATGCAACTAATGAGTTAGTTGTGGGATAGTGCATTACGAAATGAGTAAAGAGACTTGTCGGTAACGAGATTGAACTAGGTATTGGGATACCGACGATCGAATCTCGGGCAAGTAACATACCGATGACAAAGAGAACAACGTATAGTGTTATGCGGTTTGACTGATAAAGATCTTCGTAGAATATGTAGGAACCAATATGAGCATCCATCTTCCGCTATTGGTTAT